TGAGAACGCTCGAGAGCGGCAGCTAGACTATATCGAAGCTCTTATCCAAGGATCGACCTATAGCTTCCCCAAGGAAGACAAGGCGTTCAGAAAATGGATAAGGGTGACGATAGACCCCGCTGTCTACGAGAACGTTCAGGAAGAGCTGGAGAGCAACCTGACCACCCGTCGCATGCTCCGAACCCTCAGAAAGAGATTTGCGGCCAGCGCAACCCAAACTCGAGAGGAAGCTCGACGAGAATACCACAAAGCGCTGCAAAGCGCTCGACGGGCCAATCAGAGCGCAGAAAAATGGCATTCGACTTGGATGACCGCCTTGAACCGAGCAAAGAACGCCAAGTTAACCGAAATTGAGGGCAACCAAGGAATCGCTGATTTCTTAGATGCAATTAGTGCTCGGTATGCTCCTAATTGGGCCACTCGAAAGCGCGAAGAGATCTTCGAAGCAGAGGTTAAAGGCAGGGAACTTAGCCAAACACTCGAGATCTCTGCATCTCAGTTCCTCGCAATCACGCGCAACGCTCCGCAGACCAAGAAGCACCAAGCACACGCCATACTAGGGCAAATCCCTAGTGAGCCGGCGGAGCAGTTGCCGCCTCTCAAATATCTATATATGAGGCCAGGGACTAACTTCAAGCATAAACACAGCCCTGAGGAATGCGTGACCCTAGAATACGCTATCATAGGCCAACGAGCAGAGGATTGCAAGATCAGAATCTCGAAGAGCTAGATCAAGAATATTCGGCAGCGCTACGAAGACAATAATTTCGCGTCGCTTCGTGCAAAGCTCGAAAAGAGTGGATGGCGCAAAATACCTACTGAACCAAATACTCTAACGAGTAACGGAAATTGGCCAGCCGGTGACATTGCAGCCGCTATCGTCGACAATCACCAACTTCAGACCGCGGTAATAACGCTCGATGAAGCGGATCCACCTCTGTTACAAAGCACTCTTCTCGATAGCTGCGCTTCCCTCCACCTTGTCGGGAGCGCGGATCTGCTCGACCCAGGAATATTCTATCTAACTCAAGGAGAGGAGGTCTCAGCCGGCACAACGACTTTTTAGATCACTGGCCGAGGCGTTCGCACGCTCTATAAGGTGTTGAACACGCCGAGAGGTGCTCGAACGGGTAATTTGAAGCTTTAGGATGTGGTAGTTGTCGAAGGTTTCCACGTTAATGTTATCTCGGAACAACTGCTACATAAGACGGGTATCTGGTACTTAGGATACGACTGCACACTACGTTATAGCGCACTAAAGAATAGTGTAGTAATCGCAAATCTAACAAAGGAGTATAATATCACTTTCCTTGAATACAAGCTAATTTCTCCTTACGAGTATACCTTAGTCAAAACCGCTGCTCTAGTTAGACAAACAGAGCACCACACACGACCATTCAGACCGTTAGTTAACCCACCAAAGCCAAGGGAAGACGACTAGTATCTGTGGCACCTTAGGGCAGGCTATCTTGGCAAGGAAGCTCTTGAAGTATTGGTTAAGAATACCCGCGGTGTGATCATCAAAGGAACAGAGCGCCGCGACTGTGACGCCTGTGCTATAACGCACGTAACACGAGTGGTCTTAAGGCGCGAATCCGAATAGAGAGCAACGTCCCTATTCATGAGGGTATTCTGGGACCTCCAGGATTATCCCATAAGCTACAATAACATAGAATGGGTGATGACTCTTAAGGATGATTATAGTAGTGTGATCTACGTGCTATGCCTCCTAAACAAGCATTCAACCACCGTTTTCAATACTCTGTTCTTCTTTAAGCGCTTTGTCAGACGCTAATTTAGGGTGATGATCAGAGTGTTCAGAATAGATAATAAACGCGCTATAATCGCGATCAAAGGCCTTATAGCGTTCGAAAGATGGACGATCTAAGAAGGCATAGCTATAGAGCGCTCTCTAGCGTATACGAGCGAGCCTAACGGCGGTGTAGAGCGCGCTGGGAAGGAGGTTATAGAAAAGAGTATCAAGATGCTTAATAGCGCGAATTTGCCTACGAACCTCTGGCTAGAGAGCATCACAACCGCAGCTATGCTGCTCAATATTACCCTAAAACGCATACTAGGCTGGAAAGTACCGCGCGATAAGCTTGAATCGTGGTTCAAAGAGGCAAACATGCTACTGAAGGATATAAGCGTGGATACGCGGCCTAACTAGAATAGCATTTACGCCTATAGCTGCAAAGCGTTCCCGCTTATGGTAGATAGGGCAGCAGGGCGCGAGAAGCGTTTGTTTAAGACTAGCCCCAGAGGGCATATCGGATACCTCGTTGGCTATGTTACAACCAACGTGTTCCGAATATGGGTCCCTCGGCTTGAGAAGGTTATCGTGACTAGGGACGTTACGTTTAATAAGCGGTGCTTCTACCAACCTCAGGAGGAAAGTTCGACGGAGCTTCCCGAAGCAACGTTTAATAACGTGATAGTGGAGGAGGATGACGATGACGATCTTCATCTCTTCTAGCATTCCCTACTAAAGAGCCTTGCTTATGATTATGCCACCGAGCGTTCGATATCGGGGGTAATAGCGCTAGAACTAAAGGAGACTTCCGAATCGTAAGATAAGGAAGGATCTCAAACTCTCGGTTACCTACAAACCCTAGAGAGCACACCAGACCGCGACCCTAATCCACTAGAGCATACAATTGTAGACGGAAGAGCTCGTGGCAGTAGTGATCGGACGAATAACGAGAATCCGGATATATAGCATCTCGAAACAAAAAGTCCGCCGGAGCAACTCCCATATACTCTAAGATCGCCTAGAAATATATCAGAGCGGCCGGAGAGGGATTAGAGAGCTCGTCTAGGGGAACCCGAGCCCCGAGAGACGAGCACACTAGAACACCATCCTAAACAAGGCGAACAATCCCAACCAACAGGAGGTGCGCGGAGGAGCACTCGGAAGCGAAAGCCCAGGCTCCTATTCGAATAAGTGCATGCCGTGATCTCGAATAACGTCGGAGATGCTAGGAAGGAATTGCCTAAGCTACTCCAGGCGCTCGAGTACGAGAAAACGCGCTGCCTTACTATACTGGCTGTGTTCGCCGTAGCTACGACTGAAAAGAGCGCCGCTCGGCTACGCACCAGAATATAAGGGAAGATCTATCGCGACTAACTAGTGAAGGTACTAACGAACTAGAAGGAAGCCTTGGCTCACCTATTGAGCGCTGAATGGCTCGAGGTAGCATTGCTCGAGATAGAAGCAATGCGCGCTAAAGGAGTCTGGCGCGAGATCCTATGCGCGGAGGCACGCTCGAGACCTTTGCCGCTCAAGTAGGTATTCTCATATAAGTTTGATTCTATAGGTATGTTAGAGCGCTGTAAAGCACGTATTTGTGTGCGCGGAGACCTATAAGAGCAGATTACGATATAATAGACCTATGCTGCCACGCTTGCGGCACGGTCATTTCGTATCCTCATCGCACTGGCCGCTCACTTCGGCCTAGATATCAAACAATTCGACATTAAGACGGCATTTCTCAACGCAAAGCGCGATAAGCACGGCATACCAGTGACCTATGAGCTTCCACCAGGATTCAAGTAGCCCAATGTATGCGTGGAACTCGATAAAGCGCTGTACGGGCTGAAGGACTCACCGATGTTATGGTTCAAGGAATTCTCGTCAAAACTCAAAGCCCTCGGACTTGTGCAAAGCGCTGAGGAACCTTGTATATTCTATTCGCCTGCTCGAGACGTCTATGTTGTCTTTTTTGTGGATGATGTGCTGGTCTTCTATCACCCCTCGCGACCCGCGGTAGCCGAAGCTGTAATTAAGGGCATTAAGGAAGCCTATGATATTCACGATCAAGGTGATGCCGAGTGGTTCCTGGGAATCGAGATTATTCGAGACTGCATAGAACACACGATCTGCTTAAGCCATGCTCAGTATATCGAAAAGATAGCTGTTAAATACGACCTCGTCAGCTCTATGAGCAACCCAACGATTCCTGTCCCTATTATTGAATATCGGAAGAATGAAGAGATAGCAAGCGCGAAAGAGGTAAAACGCTATCAGGAACTTATAGGTTCACTGCTCTACTGCGCTGTGATGATACGGGTCGACGTCGCCTTTGTAGCCTTACTTCTGTCAAGATTCCTGCAAAACCCAGCACTAGAGCATCACAAGGCAGCACACTAAGCGATTAAGTACCTGTACGCAACGCGAAGCCTTGCTCTCTGTTACAAACGGAGCACTGTAGGAGGTGTGTTGGCCATCGCCTCGGATGCCTCTTTCGGCGATAATCTCGACACCCGAAAATCGTCTTAGGGCATGATTATCAGCCTCTTCGGCGGACCTGTGATCTAGAAAGCTACCCGGCAACCCACTATGAGCACCTCAACCACAGAAGCAGAGCTCCTAGGGCTTGAATAGACAGCGAAGGAAGCTCTCGGCATAACTCGCCTGTTTAGAGATATGCAGTTCGACCTAGAAGAAGAAATCGACCTCAAATATGACAACGCACAAACCATTCGCCTAGTATGCTCTAAGAACATGCGAATAACGACTCGACTGCGCCATGTTGATATTCAGAACATATGGCTACGTCAAGAGTTTCTGAAGGGCGCGTTCAAAGTCACATATCTCAATACGAAGGAAATGCCGGCCGATGGTCTAACCAAGGCATTACCCCGTCAGAGATTTTAAGAATAGAGAGCGATACTTCAACTGCATGATACGAGCATATGAGGAGAACAGTCAAAGAGTGTGAAGCGGAGGCAAACGATTCTTTTGGGAGCACTGGACCAGCTAGTCTTCTGCTCTAAGAGCACACCACTAGACTATCTACTGCTCACTAGGAGCCTTAGCCAACTATCTATGCAAGTCGGCAATCATTTGGTGCGCCTCAGCGCGCGAAGAAGGCACGAGCGCTGCTCGGGGAGCATTGCTTGGCGGGGCGGGAGTCCTCTCGGCCTCGGACAAAAATCCTTC